CCTGGTACTATAGCAGCAGAAGTAAAGAAATTATCATAAGAGTTTATTTGTAGTTGAGGATCACATACATAATTATAAACAAAAGTTGGATATGGCTCAATCTTAAGTTGTTTTATCAAATGATGTCTGTAGAGTTCTTGACATCTTTTATGCTTGTAATTTATTACATGGGATATATTATCTTATTGCTGTTATTGAAAAGAAACATACAAGTAGTGTTAGTAAAGTATATTTCTGTGTAAAAGCCCTAGATAGATTGGCTCCTTAGGTGGATGCTGGGTCACAGTGCATTGCCTCAAGGGCAGAGCAGGCAAGGCTGAATTTGCTTTTGGTTTCATTGCTTTCCACACAAAACATTTTTTGTTTAAGTCACAAAAATTTGGTAACAATTTTACGTTTATGGTATGCTCTGTTTCAAGGAAATATGTGAAGATTAGGTAAAGATTAGAATGTGAGGAAAAATTGAAAAAGTTCTTATTTTGGTGAACATAGTTACCAAGAGAGATCATTTTAGTCTCTGGGCTATTTAACATAAATACATGCAAAGAAAATAACAGACCTGTTAAATGGAAGACTGACTTGGCAAATTATAGGGCATTATTACATGTATGTTTCTTATCTTCAATACATAGAATTAATTGACAGATAATCAATTGGGTGCAAAAACAATGGGATACAGGGATATTTTTTATCATGCTTATAACGTAGTTTTAATGTTACATTACAGTAATGCAAAATTATTAGGAAAATATTAGTTTTTAAATGAATTTGAATTTTATGTAAATTTAACATCCAAAATTTTCATTTGTTATATACATGTTTATGAATTTATAAATTCTATAAATATATGAGCAACATCATAAAAAGTAATTCAAAATAAAGAGTTTTATTCACATTTATGAAGTATTTGGTTACTTTAACCATCTTAACATAGCTGATATTGTACTGATTTATAAACTAATCCTTGGGGAAATATAGCCTCAGTGGCTCATATTTTAATTCGTTTCTGATGGTCTATATTATTTTCATAGACTCTGGGGAGTACTTTTTCCTGTACTTCCCTCCGTCCAAATGCTACTCAGAACACAGTCAAAGTCTTGTTTACCTCTCTGGGGTTGGGGTGGGCTGGGCTAGGCTGGGCATCAAGTCACATACCTGAATACAGATAGGAGTAGATATATAGAATAAGATCAGTAGTTCAGGAACTGAAATGTTTCACCTTTCATTAAACAAGGAAAATAGGGGCTAACATTATGACATAGTCATGACATAATTCCAGGATCCCATGTGAGCTCCGATTTGAGTCCATGCTTTTTCACTTCCAGTCCAGCCCCCTACTTAGGTCCTGGGGAAGCTGCAGAAAGGGCTTGGGCCCCCCTGCACCTGTGTGGAAGACCCAGAGGAGCTCTCTGCTCTGGCCTTCTGATTGGCTCATACTTGGCCTTTGCTGCCATTTGGGGAGTGAAACAGCAGAAGGAGTTGTCTATCTCTGATTCTCCTCTGTGAACTCTGCCTTTCAAATAAAAATAAAAACAAACAAACAAACAAATGGAAAAGGCAGGCTAAGAAAAGGGACAGTCTATCAGGGCATCTTTTAAAAAAGGGGGAATTGAATGAAATGATTAGAGCACAGCCATGGCTCATATAATATGACTATATCCTCATTGATGAAAGTACTCCATCGGCAGTGGGGTAGCTAATGCAAAAACCATGGACTTTAGTAATATTGTATGTTTTGGTACCATTCAATGCAGCTCATTATGAATTTTATTCTAATGGAAGTAATTATATTAACCTCTGCTCTTTACTCATCCACCTCATTCCCACAGCATCTGCCTATAATAGCTCCACTCTCTAGTTCTTTGAGTTCAAAAATAAATACAATTAATATTCATAAATTAACAGTGACATTAAGAAACCAGTATTTGGCTTAGCAGTTAGGATAAGAGTTAAAACATCATGTTCCGCATTAGAATACCTGGGCTCACCCAGTTCAGCTTCCTGTTAAGATGGACCCTGTTAATTAATAGGTGACAGTTGAGCTACTTGGACATCTGTCGCCTGTGTGGGAAACCTGGGATTGTCTTGGGCTCCAGCTTCCACCCATCCCTGACTATTGCATGCACTTGTGGAATGCATCCACAATGTGAAGGGGAGTTTTCCCTCAGCTCTCTCCTCTCTGGTTCTCAAATAGTCATTAAAAGATTTTTTGAAACTAAATACTTTTTAACAAACTATGGAGTCAACAGATCCTGTTTCAATTCTAGCTCCTCCTCTGTGAAGTTCACATGGGAAACAGAATTTATTCACCTTCCAGGAAACAAGGAGATGTGTCAAACATCCTGAGTCAGAAAATGGAATAAAATATTACACTATTGAAGTATAGTCGTTTCATAATTAAAATGCCCATATGTCATGGTGATCTGGACTTTTTATTATTATTATGATTTGAATAGAAAGAAACAGAAAGAGCGAGCTCTTGTCCTTTCTTTCAGACGGCAAGGGTCAAATGCTTGAGTCATGACCTGCTGCCTTCCAGAGTATGCAGTTAGCAAGCTTGAGACAGTGGGTAGCCATGGGGCCTGGAGTTGATGCAGGTATTGATGTCTGCTATGTGACGTGGGCATCTTAACCAACATTGTTTTTTAAAGCTATATTTCATTTTTTTTTTGAAAGGCAGAGTTGTAGGCAGAGGTAAAGAAGACAAGAGAAAGCTCTTCAGCGTACCGATTCACTACCCAAATGTGTGGTAGCCACAACTCCCAGGGTGGGGCCAGGCAGAAATCACAGACCTGGAACTCCCATCTGAGCCTCTCACGTGGGTGGCAGGGGCTTGAGTAATTAGGCCAGCTTCTGCTGCTGTCCCAGGAATGTTAGCAATGAGCTGAATCTGCAAGTGGAGGAGCCGGTATTCTAATGGTGACCATATGGGGAGCTGACATTGCAAGCAGCAGCTTAACTGTGCCACAGCTCTGGCCCCAACCAGGAACTGAAAGGCAAAACAGCTGCTTCCTATCTGGATTTGTAGATGATCAGCATATGAAAAGAAATTTGACACACTGGGTACTGTAAGTTGTTCATAGGGTAATGTAAATTAAAGTTGAATTTGTTGATATATGCTTTAAAATAGCAGAATCATTTATCTAATCAAGTGAATTTTTATATCCAGCCAGGATCATATTGGTTTACATGGTCAAGTGTTTCAAACATATTATTTTACAATTTAGAATGTTAGTGTTCAGCTGATTTGTTTTGGAGATATTTCATGCTAGTTTGTACTGAAAAATATTAACTCGTTAAACTTTTGGCATTTTGTTTCCTCCTTCCATCAGTGCATTTTGACTGATTTGAGGGAAGTCTGAAATTTAACATATTCTTATAAATACACATTCTGTGAGTCTCACCTCCAGCCCCTCTTGTACCCATTGTATTTCCCAAAATTCTTTTCATAAACTGGTCACTGACATGGTATAGTCAGTAGAAAGCCCTAAAAGGTTGGACAAGGAAAGAAATTAAAGTGTTTCACTCTTGTTCATTGCTTCAGATTGTGTATACATGTTTGGCTAAGAATGAGTTCTCCAGGTTAGTTGTTCCTTGTGGAAATCACATCTCCTCATTGAAACTATATCTCGCCAGACTTACATACAGGATGTGTAGTCAACATCTCCTTCTTTTATCATCATTGTAACTTCCCAGCCCTCTGCCTTACATATCCATACCACACATCACATCGCTTGCTATGAGTTATCGTCACCTACTTGTGTTGTGTCCTTATTTCTGTTCTATTCTAAATATTTGCTTCTGGCCTATCGCCAGGTTTATTCGTTCTCTGCTCAATCTTGTATACTTTGCTTCTTGACTTATTAGGTTAGATTTTGTTTTCCATTTCAGCATTTGTAGTTCTGTGCTTTCGTATGGATTGTTTTTAAAACCTGGTTGTTTCCATTTTTCTCAGATATCATTTCTTTGCAAAATTCTGAGTGTTCTGTTTTATCTTCTCAAACTTTGTCAGTGTAGCTATCTAGTCTCATTTGCTATATGCACACACACACACACACACACACACACACACACACAAACAATCTTCACAAAAGTAATGAAAATGTGTATTACCGAAATGTACCTGTTTCCATATGATTGTATCAAAGAAATCGTAATACTGCTTTTGACAAGCTATTTGAAGTACCACCGTGTACATGTGCTTTAAAACTTATGTGCACATGTTAGGTATGTATAATACTCCCTAATATGTTTTATGTGCATATGTAAAGAATATATGTATATATTACATACATACACACATACATGTTTACATCTGAACATATGTTTATATACACACACACAATATTAGTCAAAACTGGATGTCATGGTTTCCAATTCTGGTTGTAACTTTTTACTAATGGCTTCAATTAGAACAAATCAATTGATTTTTTTTTTCATAATCTCAGATCCCTCCACTGCAACTGGGATCAGCAGTACGCTTGCCATAGGATTAGTAGGACATACCAATGATAACCTAAGTGTGATTGTTGAAGGATATGCTGTGTCAGTACATGTAAACTGATTTCATTTTAATGAGATCAGAAGTGGCATGATGTAAAGTATCAGGGATATTGACTTCCTATGCTGCTTTTTCCAAAGGCCAAAAAAGAAGTCTTTAATATCACATATATCTAGATTCTCACTGCCTCCATGCTATCTTGTTCTTTGTCAAATTACTCAAACTTTTCATTTTCTGTTAAAATTTAATTGCAGAGATTTTTAAAGGCTGATTTGATAATTGAGTGTAATATATACATACACACATATATATACACACACACACATACATATGTACATATGTATTCTGGCATATTGAACATTAGGAAAAATGTACCCCTGTCGTCATTATCATACTGTAGTTCGTAGTTTCTATATTGTAGCTCTCCATGGTGTGATTGAGTTTGCAGACATGGTGGAGGTGACAACTAAATCCTTGTTTTCTTCTCTTTTAACGCCAGTCTTTGACGCTTTGCCACCCACGCGTTATCAGGAGACGATGAGTACCATACGGATGTGGCTGCAGCAGTCGGAGCCCAAGCTCTCTGTCCCTCAGCTTAGCGTCACTGAGTATGAAATCATGGGGCAGAGACTTGGGGAGTTGCAGGTCGGTAAACAACTTGAAACTCATAAACAGCAGAGTGCAGATCTCTTTGGTCAAGTAATTACATTGATTCAATCTTTGGTTCAATCTTAAATAATATTGGAGTTAGCAAAATCATGACATGTATGATAATTCACTTGTTGAACATATAAAGATAGGACTGAAAATCTATAGTCTATGCATTTCTTTCTCTTTGTGAGTGGGTATGGCTGGATTTTTTTTTAACTACAGTTCTCACATTCTCAAACCGGATGAATATAATTGTTTTTAAAATATCATTTCTTGTGGCCAGCATTGTGGTGCAAAAGGTTAAGTTGCTGTTTTTGAAATGAGATACAATGTTTCATATATTTCGCATATGAAACCTTTAAATTCAGTTATAGAATTAATGAGCTAAATATTCTTTTGGGGGGAAATTCAATTTAAATGTGTTTTGCAAAATAAAACTTCATCATACATAAAATTCTTTTTATGAATGAGATTAAGTTTTATTTGTGTGGGAGAATAAGCTAGATCATACTCAAACTTATGGGGCAACCTAAAGAGAAGCCTTATATTTTAATGGATTACATTTGTTCTTCAAGATCAACGTAAAATAAGCTATAAATTTTACTCTATTTTACCCTGAGATGTCACCATAGTACTACATAAAAAGAGGATAACATCTAAATAGGAAACAAGTTCACTGGTAGATCATCAGTCTAACACTTAATGAATCTTGTCTAATATCTCAGATTTATAATTTGTGATTTATTTATAATTCTGTCTGGGGAGGTTAAGGACTAACTGAAGGCTCAGTATAATTAAAACTCCCTTAGATATAACATAAATGAGTTTATTAATACATTTGGTTGATTTGGTAAAATCTGTTGTGCTAAAATTCTTCTATTTAGTAAGATGTATTTCACATATACTTAATATTGTTTATAAAATAGATATGGACTGGTGATGAAAATCACTCAAACATATGCAAGCTACTCATACAATTGTAAAATTTGGAATCACTGCTGTAGATTTCATAACATACTAAATCATCTATTTAGATTTCAATTTCTGGTCACTTAATTTTAGGTGAAAACAAGTCAATTGTTTATCAATTAATATAAATGTGCATTGGTTTTTAATATCAAGGCTTTGCAAAGCTCTCTGCAAGAGCAACAAAGTGGCCTAACTTATCTCAGTACCACTGTGAAGGAAATGACCAAGAAAGCACCCTCTGAAATTGGCCAGAAATATTTGTCAGAGTTTGAAGAGATCGAGGCACGTTGGAAGAAGCTCTCCTCCCAGCTGGTGGATCACTGTCAAAAGTTAGAGGAACAAATGAGTAAACTCCGAAAAATTGAGGTAATCTCAGATAGTAATCCTTATGTTCAGTTTCATTTCCTTGACTTTCCCTTAACAATTCATTTTTTTAACTTAAAGGTAAATCCAAGTTTGATTTCCAGTGTTTCAAAATCAGTCATAAAATCAGAAGACTTTTTTTCCTGAAAATCATGTAATTTTCTTTTTTCTTCTACTAAAAGATAATGATTGAATAATATGTTTCTTGGATTTTCTTTAAAAAAATTAGATGTCTTTTACTAATTACAGCAATAGGACTTAAGCGTTAATTAGCTTTATAATTTTCAAAACCATTCACTCTTAATCTGGTTACACTTTGCATACCATACAGATGATATTAAAATGATGACTACTGTGTAATATTGTATTATTTCAACAACACCTTTCATTTCTAATTGCATTCTTAATTTTGTCCTATTTCCCTCATCCACAACCTCCTCCTACTCATGTATCTCATTTGAGTGTTGCCACCATATTAATAATCTTCCAACCTAAATGTAGTAAACCTACACTAAACTAGTTTCAAAGTCTAAAATATTTAAAAATATAATTATTGTCTTATCTTGGGCAGCCACTTATTGTAAGCTACATTAATGCTGTGAAAGGAATTTCAAAAGTGCCATAGCATAATGGAAACATTTTAGAACGAGATGCCTCTGTACTTAATTTCTAGCACAGTTACTTAATTTTTTTGTTCTTACTTTTTACAAACCAAAGTGCTAAGTGTTCCTGAAACATTCAACAAAGTACAGCATACATGTATATATGCTTCTAAAAGCATGTATCGCTTACTGAAGGCAAAGACAAAAGAGTTTGCAATTATGCTGGCCATTAAGGAGCCCACATTCTTGTGGAAAGAAGTGGGTACACTCATTTCCTATTGCTTCTAAATTAAATAGTTAGAAATGGAATGATTTCACACAACACAATCCTAACTTACAATTCTGCAAAGTAAGAAGTACACAATCAGTCACAGAGGACCAAATTCAAGTTTGCAACAAGGCACTGTCCCTTTTGGATTCTTTCAGAGAGGTTTTCCTGGCATAATTAGCTTCTAGATGGTTCAATCATTCCTTCTGTCATTCCTCTCATTTCCCTGTCCCCACTCTGTTCTTGTCTCTGGGCTTGCCTCCATCTTTGTAAGAACTTACCATTCCCTGGTCATATAATGCAGAATAATCTTCCCATCTGGAAATTCTTAACTTCAGTACATCAGAAAAATCCATTTGTTGTTCCGAGTGACAAATAAGAATGTATCTTTTAAAGAGACTGCTGTTAATCAGTTGTGCTTAGACAGTGGACTAAGCAGTGTGGTTAACATTGTAGCATCAAGCAGGAATGAAATCCAGCATAACTTGGGGAAAGGGAATTTGAAATGTTCTTGGATCAAGGGTCATTTCAGCTTTTATCATCACCTTGTAAAATAAACTCACCTAATAAGGACGAATAAAGGAATAACTGACGCCGCCCCCCCCCCCCCCCCAAAAAGAATAGCGCTTTTGGTAAACAGGAAAGAATTCAATATTGGGAAGATAATGAAAATGGTCTTCAAAAAGTTTTAGGGGGAATGCATATTATGGAAAATCTGTGAATGGATCTCCAGGTTGTCTGCACTGAAATAAGCACCATTAACTCTGTATTCCATGCTTTTTAAACTACCTCGGTACATTTTTTAAGATAAATAGAGTAAAGTTGGAAAATGTGATGGTGAGAGAATTAATTAAAATTATGAACAATAATAAAAAGATTGTTTTCAGTATTTTAAAGCAAGAAATATTTCAAGGTGATGTTGCAAAAACAGAAAGGAAGATTACTGACATCAATGTGTAGAAATGACAAGAGGTTTTAAGAATGAAGCAGGTAAAATGAAAAAAAAATAGCTAATACGGTGATGACAAGTCAATAGTAAAATGTAAGCAAGAACATAGAAAATGTGGAAAAGAAGAAAGTTAAGCAGGTGTCAGCAAGTGGCAATACTGAAGATTTGAGGTTACGTCCATTGTTCTTAAAACTGTTAATATGTTAATGGAGGAACTTTCTGTAAAGTATATATTTTCAGGAAAAATATGTGCTCAGCATAGCTGGATTTTGCTGAAATAAAGAAGTGACAATTTTATCTTTGAAAAGTAGCAAAAAAAATGATAAGAAGTGGAAATAATTTCACTTTCTCAAAATGATAAAAGATGACATTTTCACCTGACCGTTAATTTAATCTCGTCACATAAATTAGAAATTTAGCACAGAAGCTTTCTCTTTGAAGTTCACAACATCTTAGTTCCCTGGTCCCCAACTACAGGGACTATTTAAACTCTCAACTGTAGAAAACAGTTTGTACAAGTTCAAGTTTAGAAAGGCTATAAAGACACGATTACTTTGAGTTTATTGTTCATAGTTGGTTTTATGTACTGTAAGGGCACATTGTTAGTATTATCATGAATTGCCTTGTAACTTAAATTTCTCTAGAGGGCAATATGATATAATGTCTCAGGAGTAACATCATAAAACCCCATTTGGTAGTAATTTTTTATTTTTAACACTAGCACTCTTCATACACCAATGCTCATACAGCAGACCATAAAAATGCAGACTTCGTAAAAATGTTATTTATCTGAGGAGCTACTTAGAGACATCTCTCAAACGCAGAAATTGTTTCTGAGTTTCTATTTAGACATCACCGTGATTGTGTTGTGAGCAGTCAGCATCCCAATAATGCCCTAAACTTGGTCTGTTATTCCAGAATCACATAAAAACTCTGAAGAAATGGATGGCTGAAGTTGATGTTTTCCTAAAGGAGGAATGGCCTGCCCTTGGGGATTCTGAAATTCTGAAAAAGCAGCTGAAACAATGCAGAGTAAGTTTTTATATGATGTCTTAAGCAGAAATACTTTTCTGTGGATACTGTTACTGGCTAAATAAATAGGGTGGTTTTTCCTCCTTCATCTAGCAGACATTTTACAATGTTTGGACACATTTTTTGGAGTCTCAACTGTGTTGGAGACCAAATACTTCCAGCTTTTAATGGGAAGAGTCCAAGGATGTTGTTAACCATCCTAAAATGCACAGTAGATTCCCCCATAGCAAATAGTTACACAGCCCAAAATTTCAACATTAAAAAAACTCTGGTGTCTAAAGAGCAACAGACAAAACATGAAGTTTTACTTAAATTTCATTTGGGATGATTTTTTTTAATGCAGTAGAATGTAATGGTAAAGAATCATTTAAGCTAGCACTTCTTATTATTGATTATTACTCATATTGCATTCCCTCTCTTTTGTAATAAGCTGTGTACTGTAACATAAGTTTTTTTTAAAAAATGATACTCATATTATTGTCAAGCCACAGGAAGAACAAAATCTGGCTCTTTAAATGACTTTCTTTGAAAATACAAGCTAGAAAAGTGTATTTACTTTAGAAATAACCTTCATACCCATCATGGTATATTTACTGTAATATCCCATGTTTTAACAACAGAATCCCTTCAAAAATAGTAGTGTACAAAGCCCATCATTTTCACACCTTTTCCAAACAAGGAATATTGAATTTATTTTTTTCTGATTGGAGTAGAACAGCTAACTCATTACTTCCTTCATATCAAATGACCACTGACCATTTTTTTTTTCTGGTAAGATCATCAGGGGTTTATCTGTATCTGTCATTACATCCATTTCCTGGATTTTAGAGAATAAAATCCATGTGGAGTGCCATCATTTCTGATTACACATTTGCTAACTGTATTACATTTTCTGTTGGTGGTAATTTTTCCAGCCGGTAAAAAGCATTATTTCCTTAGCTTTTAGTCAATGATATTCAAACAATCCAGCCCAGTCTAAATAGTGTCAATGAAAGTGGACAGAAGATAAAGAATGAGGCTGAGTCAGAGTTCGCATCCAGACTTGAGACGGAACTCAAAGAACTTAACAGTCAATGGGATGACATGTGCCAGCAGGTATGGACAGCCCCCTGCCCTGTGCTTGCCTCAGTTTTATTCACCAAGTTTTCTTTATGTCTCCTTAGCGATTGTCTGTAGATTCAAAGCTTTGTTTTTTATTGTGCTGATGCTTTAATGCCAAATGAACTCAAATTGCTGTTTTTCTAACATATAGGAATAGTTTTATAGTAGAGAATTTAAATATGTTCTCTTAAGTTAAAATCTGACTTGATTTTCTTGAAAAGGATTATAGTGAAAAATAAAATTCATTTATTTGTCATTGTTTTCATTGACTGTTTAATGCAAGACAGCAATTGACACTCAGAGCTATATTTGTAAAAGATGCTTTGATATAGACACAAAATGGGTAGTATGCATGCATACACAAATGTGGGAAATACTATTTATTTGTGGGTAAGATCTCAAATCTGGTTTTTTAAAAAACATTTAAATAAATTAGGATTGAGGAACAATTAGTAGTTAAATGAGGAAAAACAATAAAATAACTGAAACCACATCTGTGTTCCTTGCTTTTATATATCAGAATATGTTATAAACATTTCATATTTGGATATTAAATTATGGAAAACTAAATATTCTTCAATGTATATTCAACATTTCTTACTCAAAGGACATTTTTACTTTACAGCACTAATTATTTCCACATTCACCAATATCTTCTTGAAGTTAATGAGAGGTCTTAGTGTATGTATGTTGGAGACTCTGTCTTTGTGTTTTTCTAAATAACGTTTCAGTGTTGTAAAAAAAAAAAAAAAACTTATGCCAAAAGGAGAATGATAAATTTGTAAAATAAAAAAATCCAGAAAAGTACAGGCAAGGCAAATTGCCTAGCTGATACATTCACTGACAAATGCTCAGCAGTTCTATTAACTCATAGATGAGGTAGCCCTGGGCCAGCAAACTTGTATTCTTCTGGAATAAGTCAGTGCTAGAAGAGTTGTTCAGGAAAAGATGTTACTCAAATAATAGATTATACCAGTGACATTTTCCTGGAAGTCCAGTGTGACTGGTATTTGTCTGTTGAATGTTCTTAAAGGAAGAAATAGAAAGAACATCAGCAGTTTATTTACAGCAAGCGGACAAACAATAGCTAGACAATTGAAGTCAGCAACCTTACTGAAACCTGAAGGTTATTATATTTTGTGGAAGTTTAATGTTTGAATCATCCTATTTTTTTCTTTTTTTACAAATGTCTTTGCTTAAGACCTCATGTTTGCTTATAATACATATTGAGAATGTGTTGTTCAAGAGAACTATTTTAAGCACATTGGCCTGCTGAATAAGCAATGAATATATTTAGATCCTAGTCATATGTGCTCCTATTTTCTTATGCTGGAATATGTCATGTGCCTTTGCTTATCCTTGGAATATCATTCTTTCCATATTTTCTGATTTGGTCAGCAAATGACCAAGAGGTTTTTTTTTTGTTGTTGTTCTTTTTTGTTTTGTTTTGTTTTTGTTTTTGTTTTAATCATGCACTCTAAAGTAAGAGGACAATAATGCAAAATACCTAGCAGGCAAGCAAGGCTTTGATACTGGTTACCAACTCAGTGTTCCAGAGAGAAGACTGGAAATGTAGCATTCTATGTATTCTATCAATTTCTACCCACAAAATGAGGGCATGATACTCTCTCATGGGTTAAAGGTAACTTTTTAACATTAGGTGCCAAAGTCTAAAAAAATGCAAATCTATAAAAACTGTCCAGATGTGTGCTGGACTTAAAGATTTTGTGAGACTCCATTACCTGATTTTGGAAGGTTTTTGGTGTTTCAAATTATTTGGATCCTAAATTTTACATATTCAAATAAAAAAACTGAAGACTCTCATTATTTCTACAACAGAAGTACTGCCCTTAAATGTATCAATAGAGGAAAAAAAAAGAAAGATGGGAGAGAGACACGCGAAGACATGAATCATTACATGTATATGTATACATAAAATGTGAATATAAATATTGTATGTATAATGTAGCATTGAACATACACATCAAGTTAGTGTTAGAGCTAAATGAAAATAAGAATACTAGTTATTCTGGAGATTATACTTTAATGTAGAAGATGGAAAATAAAGGAGCTGACACATTATCACACTAATGTCTGTTTTTATTTATTGCTAAATGCTCTGAACCTGGTCATCAAAGTGCCCTGAATGAGAGTAATAGGAACAAGGAAATGACGTTATTGTGAATTGATAACATCTTTTGTGAAGAGGTGAAGTTAACGCTGGTTTCTGATTATCCAGAAAAAAAATGGTGTTTTGATGTGTGGACTAAGGAAATTCTGGAGAGACAAGGAAGTGGAAGAAACTTCTGAGCAAAGACAAGGCTTGTTTTCAGGAATTGAAAGGAAGAGAAACAGAGTGAGACTATGTCACTACTCCTCATCCTCTAATATGCCAAATTAAATAATATGAAAGTACTTTGGAATACAGAGGATTTTTTTCTTGTTTAAAGCAATATGTTGAAATGTGATTGGCATACAGAAGTTATCCCTACCTAACATACGTAACTTGCTGAGCCTCTGATTAAGCCATGGGACCATTACTTTAGTCAAGGCCATAATTTTGTTTTTTACCTCCAAAAGTTTCCCCTTTCTCTATCATTTAAAACAATGCAAATGTGTTTTTTTTTTGTATTATGAATGTTTAGCTATCCTCTTAGAAAATGTTTAAATACAAAAATTATTGTTACTTATAAGGTCCCATATTATATTGTATATGTCCCGAACTTATTTATCTTAGATAACTGAAATTTTGTGCCATCTAAGTGTCCTATTCCTCCTTCCTCTCTCTAACTCTTTGGAACTACTAGGCATTTTCTGGTTCTAACAGCTTGACAAGTTGTAAAAATACTTACTTATTCATTTATTGATTGAAATTGTGACATGGAGAGGCATTGAATAAAATTGAGAGAGAGAATTAACAGATATATGAGAATTTTCTACAATTGGAAGCTTGATCAATGCTCGATCCCAAACATACTAATACAGATTGTTGGCATCCCAAGTAGCGTCCCATCTGCTGAACTAAATGTCCACACAGCTTCATATTGCAACAAATTCTGGGCTTTTCTCTGTGCTTGTGCACTTTATACTATGTCCCAAATAGATGAATGATAGATACAATGAATCAACTTTTACCCTTAGACACTTCCTTATCACAAGAATTGTCAACTCTGATTCAAGTTATCCAATCAAAAGCCCTTGATGTTTTCTTCCTCCTTTATTTGCATCTGTTTTATATACATATATCATGTTTGTCAGCAAATGCTGATGGGTTTATCTTCAAAATTTCCTGACTGCAAGAATTTCTCACCATCCTTGTGCTCTCATCCTGAATGAAGCCCCATATCCTAGATCAAATTGCCTGACTTCTCTCCCTAGTCTCACCTTCCGCTGCTTCCAAGGAGCCTATTTTAAACACAGCAGCCAGATTGATCCTATTAACATGTCAGATTATGTCACTGCTCTCCTGAAAACCTTTCAGTAACAGTTCAAGGGGCTTTTTACAAAACCTGTGCCTGTGCAATACTCTATGAAATGCATCTGAAAGGAATTAAAGCATAGCGTGTATCCATAGTATCTGGTAAATGTTTTATAATTGATAGTAATAACCAAAATCAGTAATTTAGCTACAGGAATACATTTGGGGGAAAAAATAGAGCTGTATTGAAGTTTGGTGTCTATCGGCCACTCAGATATAAACTGGCAAAAGGAAAAATAGGCCTGGAATACAACTCTATGTGTTAGAGAAAAAACTGAATAGAAAAATGCTTTTGATATAATGGTGGGAGAAAATAACAAACGCATAATTATGAAAATTATTTATTTATCAAGTTCAAAGAAGTTAACAAAACAATGATAAAAGCAATGATCTGATTTGTGAAATATCAAGGAAGTAAGGTGTTTCAAATAATGAGCTATAATTATGAGACTCAACTAGTATAGAAACACATTCTGAGTAAGTGAGAGACTAGCTAAGAGATGCTTTAGGAAAAAAAAAATGGTTTAGAAAGTACAGAGTAGATTTAGGATTCTGAAATGCCTGGTGGTTTTAGTAAAAGGAGCATGAAATGCAGATTATATTTGGAAAATATGGAAAGAATAGTAAACAATGACAGAAGTAGACTGCTCTTCAAAATAATACTCTGAATTATAGTAGGATGGTTGTTTATTCAATTTTTAAATCATTGGTGCCCATGAATATATTTGTAGGATGGGATAAAAGAAACAAGTTAGCATAGTTGAAAACTTAATGGAGGATATTTCAGTTAAACATGTGCTTATAAAGCTTGTTAGAGTTTTAGAAATATGAAGGCTTAAGCAGTAGATATTCTAACTACACATACCTTTTTAATCTTATTTTGGATATCAAAATTATGCATTAACCAACTTTTCATTTCAGTTTAGATGATAGACTGGTGATATATGGTATCCCATGATATGTGTATGCATGTGTATGTATGTGTTCATTTATTTAATTTTCATCAAACCATATTTGGGTTTGTGTACAATATGCTGTTATCTTCACAGCCAAATTGAACATCAGACATGAGAATCTGCAAGCTTTTGTACAATACTTTCTTAAAAGTGGAAATATAGACTCAGAATTATAAACATGAACAATATAAATGTATTTTGCCACTTTGCCGTCTGAAAGTTTGTACTCTTTGATATTTCCCTAACGGAGTTGGAAGTTTTTTTCTTTCAAATCCCTTGTAAAATGGACACCTTTGTTAGAGTTTGGGGCTATCTTACATTTGAAAATATAGCAATCCTCTTAACTTGCAGTGATTTAACTATAAGTGATAGAACAACATTTACATGCACGTGTGTGCATATTTGTGTGCAAGTCTGGTTATTCTTTTTGAGGATGATCTAACTACCTGTGATGTTAATTACTTTTGTTTGCAAGGATTTTTTTGAGATATATGATTTTTATGTCTTGGAATATTTGGGAGTCACAAAAATATCAAAAAACATAAATATTGCTTCTTTGTGCACTAAAATTACAAGGGTTCTTAACAGTTTATGGGGAAGTGAAATAAAAATACAGGTTGGCTCTGGTACAAAATATTTTATAAGTCAGTGCTGAAACATATAACCAAAGCTAGTTTTTTTGTCTGTTTCCAAAATAATATTACCATGCAGAACAGATAACTGTTGTCATAACGCAATGTGTATGTTTTATTCAGTAAGCCAATGAAATTAGGATAGCTAATTTTCACTCAGGTAAAATTAAGCATATGTGAGAAATACTTATGCATGCAAACTTTTACATTCACTCTAACTCTGCTGTCTTCACTTTGTCATTTGTAGACTAAACAATAATCTGATGATACTGTTTTGCTATTACCAACATTCATGCTTTGTTTGCTTGCTTGTTTTATGAAAGGTTTATGCCAGAAAGGATGCATTAAAAGGAGGTTTGGATAAAACTGTAAGTCTTCAGAAAGATCTGTCAGAGATGCATGAGTGGATGACACAAGCAGAGGAAGAATATTTGGAAAGAGATTTTGAATATAAAACTCCAGATGAATTACAGACAGCAGTTGAAGAGATGAAGGTAAAATAAACTTTTGAAAACAAAAAGATGAAATGAATATATTGTTACTTGAGATTGTGATTCTTTAATATCTGCTCTTCTTGACTTAATAGTGTTGATTTTTATTATTTAATTTCAAATGTGGCATCACTCTACATGATATAGAATCTTAAACTTTTGATTTTGGTGCATTGTGTCAGAATATAAAGTTTGAAAACCACAGTTTTTAACATTATTTTCTGAAAGTATACATTTTGAAAAGAGATCCTGTGATCACATTGGATATTTTCAGTTTGTGCAAGCTTACATTGTAGCCATGACAGCATGTTCTTGAAATGACAACATGTATTCAACAATGAATGTGGCAGGATGAAGTGATATGTTAAAATTTAGCTTTTGTTTTTAGTTCAAAAGGACCAGCCTGAATGCAGTTTTCTTGAAACCAAAGGATAAACAAAAGAACAATGTTAATTTAAGAAGGAAACTTGTACATGTAAATTCATGTAGTAGCACAAACATATAAATTACAGACACAAGCCCATGTGAAATGTAAATATGTATTAATGCATGCTAATTTCTACTATATAATATATAACTATGTATAATTATGCACATGTACAGTTACAGATAAAATATATAACTAATGCACACATATACATATATAATTATAAGTGAACATGTATAGTGTATATATAATCACATGGATAATTATATATAATGTACTTATGTATATGTAGCCACACGTGTATACATGCATGCATATATGCATACAAATGTATGTATGATTATGTGTGAATGCATGCATGCTATATGCATAATTACATGCATACGCATGTGAGTATGTTTAATTATATGCATGCAAGAATATACAATTTCATAATATATGTGTTTTATATAGTTAAAATATATAATTATATCATTGGATCCACTAAATGTGTTCATTGTTCATTGCACAGGAGATATGAGGCAGGCTAACAAAAAAAACCATGAGCCTCAGGTTTCTACATCTCATACAGAGAAGACACATGTTAGAAGAGTTTAAGGCCCATTGAGCTATGCTGTAACATGTGCTGAGCAAATCGGTCAGCAGCCCATAGTAATTATTTAAGAGTTGATAATGCGATGATTACTGCAAATAGTTGTGGAGCACCAATTCTCGTATTCAGTGATGCTAACAACTGATTTATGTATACTACTGAGCCAAAAAAATGTTAATCATTTGCATTAAAATCACCGAAGGCAAATACTTTATACTCAAAACTTATTTTTGCTGTCATATTGTATACTTTAAAGGAATTGTTGAACAAAATATAATCAGGTGATTATGTTGATTAATATAAAGGCTTCTTAAGCTGATTCTGTGTTATTTCCATGATTCTTTATTTCTATTACTTCATGGTACACAGGCCCCATTATACTTGCTAGAACAGGCATTTCTTTATTAATTTCTTCATGTGGCTCTGAATCTCAGGTTCTTTCCTGTTTGGTACACAGGACATGCTAGATGCTTAAAATTTCACCAACAGTCTTCTATTAATTGTGAGGAATAATATTCCAGTTCCCTCACTGCAAATGGAATCATCTAGTATCAGATGTTACCTAGAGCTTTCCAACATGATTAAACTCCTCTAACCAGCAGTAGTTGCTGGAATTGACAAATAAATCTATTTTACATTTCCTGTGTAAAATCTCCTTTCTTGATACCAGAGTTTCCTTCTTTATCATCTCTGTAATAAGCTACTTAATTCTTGAAAGTCCACCTTGTTTTTGTGGATTTGTGGGGGTGTTTCTCGAGATGTGTATACATGTTAGAAGCTAAGGCGAATCAATGTCTTGCCGCCAAAAGCCAGTTGCAATAATCCTGTAGCTCTATCAAAATATGTACCTCGGGGAAATGAGGAGTGTGTGATTAAGAACCATTATAAAACCCGTCCTTGTGTTTTATGGGTTGAGGGAGAGTTTAAGGGCTTTGCTCTGATTACTTATAGTCAGTGAGTGCAGATAATTCTGTTCGGGTACCTTGTGCAGACTAGAGTGAGGTAAAGTATTTTATGAAGAAGCACCATTCACTCATATTAACCGGGAGAGGAGACTTTAATATTTTATGTCTTGATAAATGTTGATGCTTTTTTCTGTATTCAGTCATAATTATGGAGTAGTCTTTTTATGGTCTCAATCTAACATGTTAATAAAGTGGCCTTGTCCAGTGTGAAATTCTGTTAAACATTTCTCTTCCATGAGAGGGGATCAGGGCATAGTTGTAAATGCCAGGGCAGCTTCTGATTTCGGGGACTGTTTCTGTTTTGTATTACTAACATGCATATTTCAGTCACTGAACAGTCCTTTTTAAAAAAAATCAAAATATGATTCCAAAGATAAAATTAAGATCTTTCTGTGTTAGATCAGTTTTACTTTTTTTTTCTGTAACAAAAATCCCTAGTTTTTAAAGATTGATTTATTTTCATTGCAAAGTCAGATATACAGAGAGGAGGAGAGACAGAGAGGAAGATCTTTTGTCCGATGATTCACTCCCCAAGTGAGCGCCATGGCTGATGCTATGCCAATCCGAAGCCAGTAGCTTCTTCTGGGTCCCCCATGCGGGTACAGGGTCCCAAGGCTTTGGGCCGTCCTACTGCTATCTCAGTCCACAAACAGGGAGCTGAATGGGAAGCAGGGCTGCTGGGATTAGAACCAGTGCCCATATGAGATCCTGGCGTGTTCAAGGTGAGGACTTTAGCTGCTAGGCCACTGTGCAGGGCCCAGATAACTTTTACTTTAAATAGTGTTATCTGGACTAATTTCAGTGTCATTTATCTGTCTGAGTAATTTATAAGTTATTTCAATTCTAGACTATAATTTGCTTTTTCATTATTTTCTTATTAGTGTCTAGTGCATTTAGATCCTCAGTTTTCCATAGAGTTTTTAGTTGCAACTAACCCTGAAATTTCCAAAGGAGTTAGACTCGGTATTGTGTATATTTTCATTGCTCTTACCCTACCAGTTATGTTGTGAGGAAGAGATGACAGGAGGCCCTTAACTCCTTTTGGAAATACAACTATTGCCTCCTATTAAAACATTGCTCTTTATTTTTCAGAGAGCTAAAGAAGAGGCTCAACAGAAGGAATCAAAAGTGAAACTCCTAACGGAGTCAGTAAATAGTGTCATAGCTCAAGCTCCACCTGCTGCACAAGAGGCCTTACAAAAGGAACTCGAGACTCTAACCACCAACTATCACTGGCTGTGCACGAGGCTGAATGGGAAATGCAAGACTTTGGAGGTTAGCTGTTCTTCTTGGTTTTATCAGTGAGTTGTCATCATGCAGTCATATGTATCTGACCTGCCGTCACTGAGGCTTGAATTCCTCCCTGCAGACCTTCTACGTGGTGGAACTACACGCTTGTTCAGTTTGTATAGATCTCTTTACAGTATACAAAATAGATATTAGTGTACCTACCTCTAATGTTTGTTGAGAAAATCGGATGAGCTATTCCATTTAAACTGCTGAGCCTTGTCTAGTGCTCAGTATACAGGAACAGTCATTATGACAGTCTAGATTAATTTATTAGGTCACAAAAAAATCCCATAAGATTCAGTTGTTAAAACACATTTGTTTTTGTGTTAAACTTTTTGATGTATCTTGCAAAGAATTCTAGGAAGAACTGTAACTTACAATTCTGTTTAAGTGTCTTTCCTAGAAACTTCTTCAGACAGTGTACTGCTTAATTAGAGCTTTTTGACCTTTAATATTATATTTCCTTATTATCACAAATTTTCTACCTCTTCCACATGCCTAACTTTCTACGTTATGCTTACTTGAATACTGATAAAACATTGAAGCAGCTCAATCAGTTACTGTGAAACTGTGCCAGAATTAAACGATGATTTTCCCTGAGAAAATGTTTTAACCAAAAAACACAGATTCTATTTGCTCCCAATTACAGTTCTACCAGGTATTATGCATGAGTTAAACCTTACACTGAGCCCATTTCCTCCACAAACTGGATTGTCTTATGAATATCATTGATACAGTATGGAAGTGTTCCATTATTGTTGAAATATGTATAAAGTATGTATAAAGTTATATTTGAGAAGACTCCTTCATAAAGTTCATAGATAATACTTACCACAAAAAGACTGTGCTTAGAGTTAATCATTTTTTGCAGGAAAGTAAACGCACCTTCAGAAATATTTATACATCTAGTTTTACTTTATTTAGTTTTTGAGAGGGCTTTCCTGTTTTGTGGCTTTCCTGTTTTGTGGCTCACTACACAAATTCCTACAGTGACCAAAACTTGACTAGGCCAAAGCTGGATCCTTGGAACTCACTCTAAGTCTCCCAAAGAGGTGTTATAAACCCAGGAACTTGAGTTACCACCATTTCACATACCAGCCAGGGTTTTCTTTAGCAAGAAGTTGGAATCAGGAGCCACAGCCAGATGTGACACCCAGATGTTCTGTGAAACGCAAAAATCTTAGCTGCTACTCTAAATTCCTAGACTGTAACAATACCTTTTCATTATTTTTTCCCATTAGTATTTTGAAATCCCTTCACATACATGGAAATCTATAAAATGTTAGCTATAAAACAGTACATAAAACTGAATGTAATTTGTAAACTGAATGTTGATAATTAAAGGGAAACAGCTTAGATCAGTAAAGTAGAATTTTAGATAATAAAAATATGGATTTTTTTTGCCTTGAATGTCCCTATTATTTCCAAATTTTACATTTCTAGTTACAAAATGGGATCTCTGAGTTACTGCATAGTCAATTGCAGTATCTCCTTTATTATCAATTCTTGTATATCTTTTTAAAACTTAGTTGATGTCTATGGCACTGAGCAAGGGCCATGTTTGTACAGGAGTATTAGAGATGCTGAAATTGTAAAGACATCTCTTATATTAGTGCTGTGTGAGTGCTACGGAATATATGAGAGTGGGGATGGTAGGGTGGGTGTGATTAAGTCTCGTGGGAGTGATTACTAATCCATTATGATGATAGAAAGGACATCTGTGCATCAAAAATTGTTTTTGGACAGTATTTAAATAAAGCAGTGATTATTTTATTGTTTTATTATTGTTTATCTCTGATAATACTTCCAACCTTTCCTCTTTCGAATTATGTAGCCCCCTTTTATTTCTTCTCCATTTTTTGAAATATAATTTAGTTGTTTTAATCTTACCAGTGAAATTAATGATTCTATCTTCAGACTCTGTTGGGTATGTGTATGGACTTTGAGCTCCAAAAATGTGCCAGACATTCATGAGGACTGGTAGTATGTAATACGTTTCTGGTTTATCATTGGCAGTGGCTTTGTCAATTACAACTTTCTGAAAACTTTCCTGGGTTTTGATTTACTTACCACATCTCAAGTAAGACCCCGTGGGTACTGGAAAAACCGGTATTGCATTCTTCTCAGGAACGACAAGTTTGAAAGACTTTATTCTTGTTTCCTGTTTATCCATACCAATAGCTCAACAAGAATTTGACAGTAATTACTTCCTCTTAAATAACCGCTGACTAGATGGGTGACTCCCTTGTAAATATTAAACTGAATAGAATTTGTTGGTTTTTTTTTTAACTTGTCTCATCAATAGTCAAAAGAAAGAGTTGCCCAATTTCACTTCCTTCAAATGCCAGCGCTTCAGCTCCCCCTCAGCCCTCTGTGTTCAGCAGGTGTTATGGATACGATAAATAGATGTGCTCTTGACATAAGATGTAAGCAACTTGGTCTTTTCATTCTTTAATATGAACACTAGTTGCTAATCTCAAGAAAATGAAATATATCCTGTTAGGCTGTTTATTATAAAATTACTTGTTTTTCCCTTTTCTTTATGTCATAAGCTATAGGTTTTTACCATTTGTAAGAGCCAATAGAAGAGCAATAGTTTTCCTTGTAGGACCTGTCCTTTTCTTCTCTCTCTCTCTTTGAGATCACTTAAAGTAGGAATTGTTCCTTCTAGAAATCCCTTCTACTCTGCACTGTTGGAGGGTCTTCGTGAGACCTTATATTTGTCTTTAAGGGGTTACTGCTCTCTGCTCTCATTCGTGATATAAGCTTGAATTTAAATTTGCTAATTAGATTCTTATTTCTTAGCCAAAAATCTGAAAGATTCTTAATTTTCTATCTCACTCACTTATATTCCTGTCTGTTCAGATTTTCTTGTTTTTGTTTGAGAGATGGGTGGCATTATATATTACTGGTTTCCAACTTTCCACCATTCATGAAACCTGTGTCTCATCTCCAACCCCAAATTATTGCTGAATACCCAAGCTGCATGTAAGGTACCCCATTTTGATATGCCAGAATTTTGTTAAGCTTGGATTTCCCCCCCTTTTTTTTTACTTCCTTCCCCTTTTATCTGACACTTTCACATATTTATTTATTTAAGATAAGCTGTGAATTCAGATATTTTCGTTGTGCTATATCCAGTATTTCAACATCATCATATTAAGGTTTGGGGGTGAAGATTACCATTTCAGTTCTGTCTACAATTTTGAATGTATGTTTACTTTTTCGTTTCGGCTATCCTCCAAAGCTGCTTTGAATTCTGTGATTTCAGACTAATTCCAAGTTCCAATTGGTGAAGCATAACAGTTTTTCTAAGTGCTTTTTAGATCCATTTCAGGCTTTTGTGCTATATTTCATTTTGAAAAGGTGACCTGTATAGCTAGTACATTCTGCCTCTCCAGCTGTGGCCTTCAGATGCATTGAGCACAGAAGAGGCTGTACATCCTGATGGTTGAATCAGCAAGGTAGTTCATTGCCTCAATTTGAACCAATGTTAATAAGACACTTTGTCAATTGCATCTCTAAGGTACCCTTAGGTATTGAAAAGATTTTTCCACTGGGATCTTTGCCCAGAAGGAAAACAGCCTATAGTCCAGCAGGAGTTGGAAATGACCCAGATTTAAGATTTCTATCACCTTTTAAAGCAAAACACCTAATTTCACTGTTTGTGAGAGACATAAGTTTCATGCCAAGCAACTGTAGAAGGTTGGTTGGCTTGCACTGCAGTTTGGTTGATAATTTTCATCAGATTAAGCTGGAATGTCTTCAGTCATTTGTAAAGCAGTGTACAAAGAAGAAATGTAGAAATATGATAGACTTTCCCAAACTCTCCTCCGTAGGCCTGACTGCTTACACTTTGGGGTAGAGTAGGAGCAGTCGTTGCGGGTGTTAGCCCTCACACCACTGTATATACTTGATTTATTGTTATTTCCACTATTTAAAATCCCAATATTATTTTACAAAATGGCCACCTTTATATTCTTGTTTATGACAGTTCCTTTTCCCCACTGGTCATAATCACCATCCAGAAACTTACTTTTGTTATTTGCTTAAAATATACTTTGTCAGACATATATGAATGGAAAACAACATATTCAGTGTTGTACTAACAGTGCAGAAAAGGCTAACCTGTAATACATAGTTTCTCAGTCATTGTTCTTTCATCAAAAAAGTTCTGTGTATGTGACTCTTCCTCATAGTACTTTGTGATAAATGAATTAATTTTTCTGTATCCTTTTGTTAAAAGCTACATAGCCTATTCACCTCTTCTTCTAGTGGACACTTCCTTGTTATTTTAATCATCACAGATAGTACTAAATGTCTTGTAAATATGCTTTGTTCTCAACAGTTTCTCTGGAGATGTGTATTAAAACATGAAGTCATAGGGTATGAGAATGTTCACCTTCACTGAGAATGACCAGTTGTTTGCCAAAACAGACATTATAATAAAGAGATATTATGTTGATGTATGCTTTCCTTTGCATATGTAATTCTGAAATTTCTCATTTGTGTTGGTCAGTATCGTTGCCAAAAAGCTTGAATTTTACATGTTTCTTGTATGCCTATATTTCTTTGATACATTACTTTATGGATGGTCTTATTGATTTTTAAAATATACTTTTAAAAGTTTCTATTCTAATTTATATTAAATGACTAGTTTCCATATATTTCTTGATGCAGACTTAGAATCATAGGGGTTTGGTCCTCCCTTCTATCTGTCACCCCTCCTTATTCCAACCTAACAAAAATTTTTATGCACGTTTGAGGCCATTTTTTTTCACATTTTTATGGTGCTCTTTTGTTCTAAGGTTTTAATTTTAATATACCCAGATCTATTTCTTTACGGGTCAATTTTAAGAAAATTACTTGTTTAACACATCCATTTTTATTTTTTAATCAGAAAAAATCCCTTCTGTATTTTCTTCTAGCAGTCTTAAAGTGTGATGCATAAAAGGAGTGACTTTAAATAGCACTGTTGAACTGATTGATATGCTGCTTGTGTGCCTAATTCAAGCAGTAGTAAGAAATATGTGAAAAGAATCCATGTTCATTATGCTCACCTCAAATTTTGAAAGCAAACAGAAATAAAATGCTCTATTCAATACGTGTCTATTGTTAAGGACATAAAAATATAGCCTGCTAAAATGAAGCCATAGGTTTTCATAAAAATATAGCGTCCTAGGAATATGTAATAATTATGATATTAAAAACAGCTATCATTGGAGCCACACTTTATCAACTTATTTATTTACAATAAAGTTTAGAGATTATAGAATAAATGATTGATATCCTTTTATGTCACATTTTCCAGTCAATAATTGCGAGTTTTGAAATTTAAATCACAGGCTCTTGAATTTATGCATGAAGAAAAAATGTACCGTTTTAGTGATTTATAATTATAGAGATGTTAAATGATCAAAACGATTCATTGCATTTTAAATACTGCTAAGCAAATAGGAATGATATAATGTGAAACATCAGATTTTCAGATGTTTTAAAAATGAAATACCAAAGTCTCATGTTCACTCTTCATCAAAATATTTGTAATGTGATGTTTTTCTTTCTTAGGAAGTCTGGGCATGTTGGCATGAACTATTGTCATATTTGGAGAAGGCAAACAAGTGGCTAAGTGAAGTAGAAATCAAACTTAAAACCATGGAGACCGTTCCTGGTGGAGCCGAGGACATTTCTGAAGTGCTCAATGTAAGTTGTGAACTAATCTAAATGATGACAGCTTAGACTGACTAGTGAAACAACGTGCTGGTACTTGGGATGGTGCCTTCGTTCCCAGTGAAAACCGTCCATGTCACAAAAGGTTTTTTTGTTTGTTTATTTACTATTTGTAAAAAAGTGCAACACACAAACACACACACGCCCTCAAATAAGAGGGTGAGAGAGTAACATTTCCATGTACTGATTTGCAACTGCAAGTCCTACAGCAGCCATGGCTGTGGCAGGGCTGGAACTAGAGGCTGAGGGACTCGGTTGAGATCTCTCCCATGGACAGCAGTTACCCAGCAACCTATGCCTTCCTCTGCTGTCTGCCAAGGGGACATTAGCAGGAAGCTAGATGGGAAGTACAGTAAGGGTTTGATTCCAGGATGTCCAATACAGAACGCTTCCTCTGAAGAAAGCAGCCCCTTAACTCTCCGTGCCACAATGCCTACCATAGTATTCAGGTTTTGACAAGAATTTCAGGGATCATTGACAAAGAGCATTTGCATTTTATTGCTTCACTAAGTTCTTGTTTGTTAGAAAGGAAGGGCTGGGGAGAGGGAGGTAAACAGAGGAGAGGTCTTCCATCTACCGGTCCTTTGTCCAAATGGCCACAAACACTTGAGCTTGCTAGGCCAGGAACCAGGAACTGAGAGCTTTTTCTGGGTCTCTCACATGGATTCAGGGGCCCAACCACTTTAGGCCATATCCCACTGCTTTCCCAAGTGTATTAGCAGCAAGATACATAAGTGGAATAACCAGGACTCGAAGAAGCATTCATTTAGATTGTTTGTATTGTTGGGGGCAGCTTAACGCACTAAACCACAATGCCTGCCCCTGTGTCAATAAGTTCTATGCAGAAATTTTCAATGTATATCTACTACAAACCTACAAAGGCAGTTCCAACAAAGAGTTTTATCTTTTGGGGGAAAGCTGGAAAGACTGTTAGTATGGGACACTTTCATTTTAAAAGCTAAATGTGTTGAATAGGAGCATATTTTATAATTGTTTGAAATCACAAGCTTGTATCTTGCAGAACAGGTTGAGGCATTCAAGGGGTATGCTTTGATTATAGAAATGTAGTTTTACCATGTCCAAAGAGTTTGATGCATTCAAGTTTTATTTTGAAGATATTTACTAAATCTTGCTGTGAAAGTTAACATGTACAAGTTGATTTATGATAACTTTCAGTATTTAGTTGCATGTTCATGTCCTATGTGCTTTATTAGACTTCTGACTTAGCACTTACATGTTATATCCATGTAGTTTTATTATATGCAGATATATCAAGTTCTGTGTAAAAGAGCTCCTGTATAATTTCACGAACTAAAAAGTGTACATTAGCTACATTATGAAGAAAATATGAACTATTCTTTATACAAAATGAAAGTGGAATCCTAGACCATCAGAGCAGAAACTTAAAGATTGGTTTATACAAATTTTTACATTTCTGAAGAATATTATAAAACCTGAACAAATGTCACAGAACAATGAGAAAAGTCAGCTTAGCCTGTGATTTTGACCTTGGTGCTTTCAGAAATGTTTATTGGTCTGTCACCTCTCTTGGATCATATGATGTGTCTTTGAAAAATATGCAGTAAGTTTAAATTACATAGATAAAAGTGCATTGGAGACAGTAAGGTTTGAAAAGACATGGCCTATGAAATAATTAGATTATGCATGAAGTGTAAAGGTAAATTCTTGATACTGTACTTAAAGTGATAATCTGAATAACTAAGGTATGCTCAAAATGAACAATATAGGAGAGAATTTTTGAGACAGTAATCCATAATATTTAGAAAATGGAAGGGAAAAGGATTACTGTTAGTATTTGCTATTTTGTTTTTTATTCTATCTTAAATAAATCAGTTATTTGATGGTGTAACTTTTGCTCATCCTCTTTGTAACAAGAGGTAGAATATCATTTGTTATTACATTACATTATCAAGGATAATGTAATAGGTTATTTCTAAGCTTCCTTGCTTAAGACTTCTATAATCGATTCTTTGATTTTGCTTTGTTGCTTAAATTTCACTTTGTTTTATAATTAATAATCTGTGTACTTCATTGGGAACTATAAAATATATTCATGACAGTTTTGCAACTTTAATTTGTATTAAAAGTTATAAATTATACATTAATGGTAAATATTAATGGTTTCATGCTAAATCTGAAAATCATTTAAGTATTACAGAGGTAATCATAATTTTTTGGTTTCTATTGGAGAAAGTGTTTTATTCCTTCAAAATTTAATGGGAACATATGACATGGTTGCTAAAATTTTGAAAATCAGTGGGTACATAATGATAATAATAAGCATTGAAGAATTTCCGTTTCTTCACAGTGAACAAAATAACAGTGCACAGAATGAATTTGTTGTAACATAGCTCTCACTTCTCATAGACTTGTCTGAGACTCATTAGTGTAATATTAATCAGTATTTGTCTAGCATTTCTCATCATGACGATGAGATTCTTTTTTCTTGTAATGTGGCCAAGCAAATTTTCAATGTTGGGAAGTATTTATTTACAGATAGAAGTAGTTCCATTCAAAATAATGGAAGTTTGGGAAATGTCTTAATCTCATAAGATCATCTTTTGTTACCACCGAGTACGACTGAAAGAGTATTATCTATGGATGCAGAGGCAGGTCAGGTGTCTGATGAAAGCACCCACGTGATCTCTCTTCTCTCTTCCTGCTCAGAAGAGTTTTCATCCTTCAGTTTATGACTTCCCACTTCAATCATTGACTGTCTTGCCACCATGTTGTATATGTGTAAAAATATAGGAAGAACCTTCCTTTTAGTTGATAAAGGGAAATTTTGCTCATGCATTTCTACATATGTTGTCAGAATAGTTTGCCTGAGCATAACTACCAATAAGAGAGGTAGAGATATAGAGCATTTCATCTTTCCAAATATTAGAGTAGAGTCATCTGTGAAAAGGATGGCTGGTAGTCATTTTTATAGCATCCAGTCCACAGTGCTGCCACATGCCTATTCAGATTGTCAAAGAGTGAACTCATATTTTTTTAACTAACAATGCTGTTTCAAGTCTTATCATCCTAACTGAATTTCGCGTTGAATCAGTCATGATTTAATTATATGAAAGTCAGAAGGTTCTGAGCATTTTGGAATAATTGAATGTGCTTAGAAAAGGGGAAAGATTGTAATTATTGCAAATGTGTTTCAGTCACTTGACAATTTGATGCAACATTCAGAGGACAACCCGAATCAAATTCGTATATTGGCACAGACTCTAACAGATGGCGGAGTCATGGATGAACTCATTAATGAAGAACTTGAGACATTTAATTCTCGCTGGAGAGAACTACATGAGGAGGTATGAAAATAAGTGAAACTTCTCCTTAAATATGATTTACATAAGTAGACAAGTATAGTACACATAAGTCTTTCCGGTAAAATGAGGAATACTTTAAATTTTAGCTCAACTTCCAATTTCGGACTGCGCTGAATTATTGCCTGCCTTATTATATCATTCTTGCCAAAACATCACCAGGTGAAATGTTTAACATAGAACAGAAATCTCCTTAGAGGAGTTATAATGCAGGTTCACACAATAATCACCGTGTAATTCAAACTCAGATCATTTCTGATCTCAAAGTGGTTTTCTTTATCTAGAGTTAATCAGTAGGTATGGGTTTATGCTCCTCCCCCTCTCCTAATTACTCTTATTCTCGCTTTTACTTACGTTCCTCTACTTCTTTCCTCCTTCTCTCCTTATAAACTAGGAAATTGTAAGTGTTAATAAAAATTAAAAAGAACTTTATTGGATTATAAGACACATTTTTAACATCAGGAAAATAAGGTGGAGCCAGAGATGGAACTGATGCTCTACTGAGGGTACCTGCGCTTATGGTTCTGTAGTGGAGAGTGAGTAAAGGTAGTTTAGTATTTTGGGCAGTGATGAGGTGTATTCAAGCTAAACCGAGCACCGTTCTGAGCGGTCGTGAGCTGTGTCGGTACACTGGAAGGTTCAGGGTAGGAGTCACACTTGTCACTCTGCCATTTCTCAATCCTGGTAAGCGACCGTTAGATATCCAAGTGGTATTTCCCTGGACAGAGTCGACTCCTGATGTGATGCTTCTATGGTTTCTGTCTGTCTCAGTAAAATCACTAGGATTCACAAAAGGATGTTTGCTCTCCTTTTGCCGTTCTGCTGATATTTTAATTTTTCTGATCCTTTTGTCTCTTCTCTCTCCCCATTTTTACTGCCTGCTTTCTCCTCTGTCCTTCTCTCTTATCCTTTCCTGCCTCTTGATACCCCAAACATTTGCTGTGGTTACCTGTTGACTGCTCATAAAATACAAAATGTCAATATTGCCCTAAAAACCGTTCTTATATTTTCAATTAGTTTATTATTTACATATTTATTTAAAACATGCATATTTAAACATTCATATTTAAAAACCGCCTGAATGTCATGACTTTTTTCAAATGTGAAATAATATCATTTTTCCTAGTCAAATAGTGTTTGGCATGTGCTGTTTTGTTTTTCAAGAAGAAAACATGCTTTATGATGACATTTAGACTCATACCTCTTCTCTGAGTGAGATTACTGCATGTGAGACACTGTTCTGCTGTTCAGTAATAAGAAAAGTACCCCATCCTTAACGACCTATAGACATTTTAAAATTATGTGTAGATTGATTTCCTAGTGTGTACAAGATATAAAATAAATAGTATCTCTATGAGGAGGGAATGACACACAAAAAGATTAAGGAAGGTGGTAGCTAGGAGTATATGCAAGAAAAAATTTGATATCCGAACAAGGAGTGAGTTTACTTGGGTAAAGCATCCAGTTGGTGAATCCTACTCTCTCTGATCCCTCTGATGTTGCGGAAGTGCCACGTGAGTATTCCATTTAGTCTTTAATCATGTCATTATATTTGGGAAGTACTCTATCCATATTTTGTCCCTATTAATATAAGGATCATCCCAGGTTCTAGGCCATTCACTGTTACACTGTTACTGTACACAAGTAAAAGTAAATATTCCATGGCTACAGTATAGTTGCCCCTTAGGAGTCATTTAAATGTATATTTTGACATGGAGTCATACTTTCTCTTTTTCCAGCTTTGAATGTCAATCTCAGATAAGAGTTCAGAAGTTGCATTATAACACTGACCTTGATTAAGCTGTTTAAAGAATGTCTTAATATTTAATATAATTTAATATGCATCTCTTCTGCCTTTGGTAACGTAATTTCTATCTTCATTTTGGTTTCAGCTCCATTTCTGTAATTATCTTGCAAATTTTTTCTTAATACAGAAATATATTGTTATGCCTTAAAGATACTTGCTGTGAAGCAAATATCTCCCCACAAGAAATAAAATATTCCCATTCATTATCTGAAAATCCAAAATCGAAAATGTCCTAAACCATGAAGCTTTAGAGTATTGATCTATGCCTCAAGTGAAAAACTTCATACTTGGAATCATATTAAGACAGGTTGCAATGAAAAAGAGGCTTGTGTAGAAGTACTTTTAATATCAATGAAGATATGTCAAACCTGGATGCCATCCTCAGAAGGCTCAATTTGAGAGATATGTGTGTGTGTGTATAAATCTGAATATATATCTGAATATATATTCAAATATAATTGACTTATATTCAAATTCATTATATGTAATTCATGTTCAAATTCATTATAATTTATATATGTAAAAATCATTATATAACTGAATAAAAATGAATAAAGTTTAAACATTTTGAATAAGCATCCTATTAATGTACCAGGGAATGGAGTAGAAGATGACTGAATTGCTTGGGTCCTCGCATCCTTGTAGGAGACTCAGAAGACTGGTCGGACTCAACCCTGGCCATTATGGCAATTTGATTATTGAGCCTAAAATAAATGCATAAAAAGAGGATAATATTAAATGCCAATAAATTGATAAATAACATATATCCTATAGTCTATTGATTACGGGATTTTGGATAACATTTCCTAGCTTTCATTCATAGTGTTCCATAGCATTGATGGACTTACTATGGTTTTTTTTAAAGATTTATTTATTTTTTATTGTGAAGTCAGATATATATACAGAAGAAGAGAGACAGAGAGGAAGATCTACTGCCTAATGATTCACTCCCCAAGTAACTGCAATGGCTGTTGCTGCGCCAATCCAAAGCCAGGAGCCAGGAGCTCTTCTGGGTCTCACATGTCAGTGTAGTTCCCAAGGCTTTGGGCTGTCCTCTCCTGCTTTCCCAGGCCACAACTAGGGAGCTGGTTGGAAAGCAGGACTTCTGGGATTAGAACTGGCATCCATATGGGATCCTGGCACATTCAAGGAGAGGACTTTAGCTGCTAGGCCAAGGCATTGGGCCCCAGATTTACTATGTTCAAGATAATATTGTACATGTGCATGGATGCTTCCATTAGTGAAACTAAATATATAAAATATACAAAGGGCATTTATTATGCTACAGCTTTCAAAATCAAATTCTTCACTTCATGGTAATATTGCTTTAACAATAAACCTGAAACTATCCTCAGTCTTGGCTATGCTTACAACACATGTTTAGCAATAAATTGACCTTAAATTTACATAGCAATGAAAATAATGCATACTTGATGCTTTGCAGCTCTTATACAAACTACACTATGTAAGAGACAATACTCTTCTCAGACTTCCTTGTGGTACTCTGTAATAAGATGAGGTGACTTGAAACAAATGATGATGAGTTAACACTGATGAGCAGGTACAGTGTTTGTTGTATATCTTAGGATATTAGTGGGCCCTTTGAAAAAGAAAGACAAGTAAAATACATTTACTAAATTAATCCCCTGCATGTTCTTACTGAGAGCTTGTTGAAAAGTTTTGGTGGTTTGATCCAAAGTGGATTGGGCTTCCAGAAAAAGGAGCTGGAGAAACAATAATGATTTCAGTAAGAGTTTTCAGTGTATTTTTTTTTTACCTCTGTCTTGACCTTTAATATGGTATAATCAGAAACTCTCTTTGTTGTCCATATTGTTCTGGATTTTATTGGCCAAAAAGATATTTACATTAGTAAACAGAGTCCTTTCATTTGAAGTTGAATCTTCAGCCCATTTTCTTCTCAATTGCAATGTAAAATGTGTGAAGCTAGTGAAGTTTTTTTCTTTTTGACTACCTAATGTTTCTTAAAGCTGCAATTATGCTTAGCTAAGGTAACATTCAATTGCCTGTTAAATCAATCAAACAGCTCAAGTTTTTATTGCCTATGAATATTTAAAAAATGTATGCTAGATCCCATTCCTGATTTCAGAGTGTGGGTTTGCATTCAGATAAGTAATAAATTATTTGCATCACTTTAAAGACATCTTTCTCTCTTCATAATCATATGACAGTACATTTTCTACCCACAGTAATGATTTGAAAGACAATTAGTAAACCAGGAAACACCTTCAGAAGCTATACACAATTATATAATACTTGCTTAGGTTCCCTAGCCATCAGGGAAATACAAATGAAAACCGCATTGAGGTGCCACCTAACTCCAGTGAGATTGGTATACATTCAGAACTCCACTAATAATACCTGCTGGTGTGGACTTGGAGAGAAAGTTACCCTCCTTCACCGCTGGTGGGAGTGCAGGCTAGTACATCCACCATAGAAATAAGTATGGAGTGCAGGCTAGTACAACCACCATAGAAATAAATATACTTAGAGACTTGCAAATAAACCTGCTATATGACCCAGCTATCCCACTCCTAGGAATATACCCAAAGGAAATGAAAAGTGCATATAAAAAATGGATCTGTAAGCTTGTATTTACAACAGCACAGTCTACAATAGCAAAGACATGGAAACAGGCCAGATGCCTGTCTAAAGAGGAGTGATTAAAGAAATTGTACATCTATCCCATGGAATATTAGCCATTAAAAAAGAATGAAATTCTACCATTTGAAACTAGAGGGTCCCCCCTAGAGACCATTATGCTCAGTGAAATAAGTCAATTCCAAAAGGACAAATACTATAAGCTCTCTCTAATACAAGAAAACCATCATGCAAAATTTAAGTTCAATAACCCTTTCCATGCAGTTTTTGCTACATCCCATGTATTTCGATGTTTTTTATTTCATTTTCATTTCTTCCAAATATTTCATCTTGTTGAATTCATTGGTGTCTCATGGATCCAATGGTGGCATCATTTTACCCAGGAGACTTTTCTTTTTTCTTTTTGTCACTCATGAGTTGATTATTCAGTTACATGTGTTTTTGACTCCATGGTGCTGAATTTTTTCTTCTTTTTGTCTTTGTTTTAGCTTCGTATCTGTTGTTGACATTATTTCATGGCTTCTCATTTAATGGAGTGTATAGTGATGGTGTAATAGAG